GTACTCTGTCCAGCGACTTTTGCATAGCGAGGGTTTTTTTTTCGTTGTTACGGTATTGCACATTGTTCGGCAATCTCAGTGTAGATGCTCTTTTTCCCCCTATCTTGATTTCTTCCACAAAAACCCTGAGGCAATATACCTATATAGACGATTTGAACCTAACCAAAAACAACTAGATTTGTGTTTCTATGACTCTTGTCGTTATTTGGTCATAACCTGCTCTCTATCAAAACACGCAGTACGTCTTCCACAGAGACGCGTAGGAACGCGCTATCACGTGATACATCAATGCTCACCCAGGTGAATAATCTCCCCCTGATTGTTAAATCCGTAATTGCAAAACCCACATCTTGACTATTAGTCACAAACTAGTGTTTCCTGAACGAGTCTACTCTGGTACAGTGTATTTGCCATTCCAAGCATAAAGTGGCATGTGGCGCTGCGTACAACGCGGGCACTAGCGCGGTTCGTAAACGCTTCTAGCGGGGAAGGAGCGCGTTCCAAATTACCTCACCAGCAACTCTCGGTGGGCATCCAGCCTTACCCGTCGTCACCTTCAACCACACTCCTTTACAACTACAGCAGATGCTGTACTGACTGCAGTCATGTCCGCTAAGCGCCCACGGGCCCACACAAATGGTGTCAATTCGAGCGGCACTGGCCGTGATAATCGCGTAGGTTGATCGTCTTCACTTGCGACCGGAAGCCTGGTTCACATGAATGCAGAACAAAAGACCTCGCCCATCTGAGCCAAACAGCAGCGAAGAGTCATCCACCGACGAACGATCTGTTGCAGCGAGCGGCAGCGATACTTCGGACGCAGAAGACGAACAGGAACGGAATGCACAAGAAATATGGGCGACACAACAAGTTCAGAAAGAACGGCGGGAGACTGCGAACAGGCAAAATATCGCAACAGATTCTGGTATAATCGAGGAGATTCAGTGTATAAACTTCATGTGCCATGAGCATTTGACCGTCACTCTGGGCCCGCTCATCAATTTCATCATAGGACACAATGGTAGTGGCAAGAGTGCCGTACTCACTGCACTTACAATATGTTTGGGTGGAAAGGCTACAGCGACCAATCGCGCACAAAATCTCAAGAGTCTGATCAAAGAAGGCAAAGACTATGCCTCTGTTACTGTCAAGATTAAGAACCAGGGACCACTTGCGTACAAGCCCTCACAATATGGCGACTCCATCATTGTTGAGCGACACTTCAGCAGATCCGGAACGTCAGGCTTCAAACTCAAGGACCGAAATGGCAAGCTTGTCACAAACAAAAAGGCAGAGCTTGAAGACATTCTCGACGCCTTCTCCATGCAAATTGACAATCCCATGAATGTCTTGACGCAGGATATGGCAAGGCAATTTCTCAATCATTCCACTCCAAAGGACAAGTACAAATTCTTCCTCCAAGGCACTCAACTCGAGAATCTGAATAGGGATTATCAGCAGATTGAACAGTCTTTAGAAGTGATGAATGCGAAGGCAGAGGTCAAGGAGGCTGATCTGAGTGTTCTACGGCGTCACATGGAGGAGCTGGAAAAGAAGGCGCGGAGAGCCCAGAACCTAGAGTCTCTACGGGCCAAGGAAGCAATTCTTGCAGGACAGGCTGCATGGGCTCATGTCCAGGAAAAAGAAAAGGAGGTCGCGGACGCACAGGCCGGAGTTGAGGAAACGCAGGCTAAAATACGAGAACGGGAGCAGAAAGCGGCTGAAGCAGCAGAGCGTTATGAACGTGCTGACCAGGCCTACGAGGCTGCTAAACAAAAAGTTGCTGATCTTACGGAAGAAAGTGGACCCGTCGATCGAGAGTTACAAGACGCCAGGGCAAGATTTGATCAGGTCAAGGCGGCGCTCAAGCAACTTCAATCTGATGAACGGCAAGCCCGAAGCGAGTTGACTGCTAAGCGATCAGAAGTGGAGAAATACGAAAAACAAATAGAGCAATACCGACAGCGACAGGCGCAAGCTGATAACGGTCTTTACGCCGAGAAAGTCCGTGAGCGTGACGAAGCCATGGTCGAGTGTGACAGAGCCAGAGAGGCGTACGCATCTCATGACGTTAGTCGCCCGCAACTGCTAGCCCAGCTTGAAGCGGCTAAAAAAGAGCTGGCAAATGCAAATCAAAAAGTCCAAAATGCACGCGAAGACGCAAAGCGCATCCGAAGCGTCATCTCGAGACTAGAAGGAGGCCAGGGTGAATGGATAGATGGATTTGCAAATCCCAGTAAACTCAAGGCATTACTGGACGCGATCAAATCTGAACGTCGGTTTCGAGAGCCACCGGTAGGACCTATCGGCCATCACATAAAACTGCTAGACCCGAAGTGGGGTCGCATATTGGAAAAACAGTCTGGTCAAGCGCTCAATGGCTTTGTCGTCACTAGCAAGCATGATCAAAGTGTTTTGTCTACATTGATGAACAGGACAGGCTGGTGCGTGTTTTGCCCCTAAGCTTCATGAGACATACTAACAACCCCAGGTCCGCACAAATATACATTGGCAAACGTGCTCCGATTGATACAAGTAACCATGAGCCTGACAAAGATCTCTTGACATGGATGAGAGTATTGACTGTAAGCGCAATGTGTGTAAGTATTGTATAGGAGATTCCAGCTAACTGATACCTAGTTTGACGATGACCTTGTTCGCAACCAGCTCATCATCAATCAGTCAATAGAGCAAACTGTACTTTTTGAAAACATGACAGAGGGCTTTAGGCTACTGAAAGATGGTGGACCACGTGCCAAGAATGTCAAAATGTGCTTTACATTCGCGGATGGCGATACCCGAAGAGGTCGAGTATACCATTACAGCAACAATGGCCAAGTCAACGACAGTCCCATCCTAGAATTCATGGGAAATCTGCGCATGCAAGTCGATCAGAATGCTCAAATTCAGTAAGTAGTTCTGCAAAGTTTCCTGGGAAATAGGCTAAGCGATGTTCAGAGAGGAGCGAACTCGCCTGACTCGAGTTATGGCAGAGATACAAGTTCTTGAGGGGAGTGCCAGACAGTTGCAAGAGCGGGTTAATGAATGCAAGCGTCGAGAAGTTGACCATGAACGCGAGAAGAAAACACTCAAAATTGCTATGCAACAGGCTTCGGATAACTTGGACCGGCTTGAAGGTGAGCTGAGCGAGGCTACTCCTGACGCATCGGCCATTGAGGTTGCCAAGGAAGCACTTGAGATTGCGAAAGAGGAATTTAAAAGTCTCGAGGGTGTGTTTGAAGACATAACAACTCGGAAAATCGAACTGAATGAGGAGAACCGAGCGAACAAAGATGGCATGGACAGGAAATTCGCTAAGGCCGAGGAACTCGAGTTCAAGCTGAAAAAGGCAGACATTACCGTTCGCCAACTCCAAAGCAAGCGAGAGGATGAGCTCCGGGAGAAGAACGAATCTATTGCCAAGGTTGAAAGGGCGGAAGCAGTGCGCAAGGAATGGGAGAATAGTGTGGAAGAGTTACGCAAAGAACTGGAGGAGGTAATCGAAGGCGCTAGAGGTGTCTGCGCGGAGCGGGTTCCTGTGCCGGCAGGAAAGAGCTCTGAGGTACTTGGTCAGATGCTGGCAAAGCTAGAGGCGACGAGGAAAGCGTCGGAGAAGGAACTCGGTGGGTCGCAAGATGAGCTACTACGAGCGGCGAATGAAGCGAAGAGGCAACACAAGGATGCAATGCAGGAATTTGATAACATCAGGGATTTGCGCAACGTAAGTCAGGCCGTATGTTCTGATGGACCTAGCTGACCTGTACCAGCAACTGATCACCACCCTCAACAATCGACGCAACCGATGGAAGCAGTTTAGGTCTGGTATCTCTGTTAGAGCACGCGTCACTTTCAATTACCTCTTGAGCGAACGAAAGTTCAGGGGCACATTGAGTATCGATCACCAGAAGGCTCTTCTCGACATCCATGTAAGTGCAACATACCCTTTCGTTTGGTGCATTGCTGACCCTGTCCAGGTTCAACCGGATATCATGGAACGAAGTGGGGATGGCAGGCAAACAAAGACACTTTCGGGTGGAGAGAAATCATACTCGACCGTGTGCCTTCTGCTCTCACTGTGGGATGCAATGGGCTCTCCGATCCGTTGCCTTGACGAGTTGTGAGTGGACCTGGGACTGTGTTGTATTGTGCAAACTGACAAAAAGTATAGTGATGTTTTCATGGACAGTGTCAATCGCGAACGGAGCATGAACATGATTATTCAGGCAGCGCGACGGTCGATTGGCCGACAGTTCATTTTCATTACGCCTCAGTCGATGAGCCAGGTCAACCAGACGTCTGACGTCAAGATCATTAAGATGTCTGATCCCGAGCGGGGACAGACGGCGCTCAGCATGAGCCGGGGTTGAGGAGGGAGTAGAAGTGGGTGCGAATAGGGTTTCGCTAACACTAGACGTTTTCCTGGCGATCAGGGAGTTTAATCGCAAAGTGAGGCGTGGAGTTTGGCAGGGTTTCCATCTATGTTTATACCCACTTGATAAGGGCGTTGGATGGCTGTATGTATGTATGGAAGTTGCTGTGGCGTGGCTGCTATACATCCAGACTGGGGTATGGCTCCGCTGGCAGCAATTGTATATGCGCGAATTCTTCATGTTTCCAAATATACTGGAGAGAGTCGTGTGGGCTTGTCTCAGATGCATGTGCCAAGGGCTGATGGCCAGGGCAAAGGTTGATATGGTGGTGGGGGGAATGGCGTGCGAGGCACAGTGGCGGCGCGGGCGGCGGTTGCGCAGGAAACCAGGCTGGTGTGATGTGCAAATGCAAAGGAAAGGCAGGGCGGATGTGCACCGGGATAAACCAGGGTCTATTGGCCGTCCACGTCGATTGGCAGCACCACCACAACACTCAAACTTGACGGCTGCGCACACCTCACGTCCATACATGTAGGAGCACGACTGCCGTGCTGCTTCTGCGCCTGGTCCTCCACCCTCCCCAGGGACCTTGTATGCCGCAAGTAGTACTGCTGCTGGACTCACCACACCATGGCCGACTCCCCGCTCTCCACCCCCGGCACGCCCACTACTGCGTCGCCGCTGCCTTCAGACGCCGACTTTGCTCGCTCATTTTCGCCCTCGCAGGACGATGCGCAACTAATGGGCTCCCAGCCATCGCCAGAGGACGTGTGGACGAGTACGCCCGCGCCGGGTGCTGTGGGTGCGCCGCCCTTGACTGACCCGGCGCCAGCACAAAAGGGCAAGGCAAAGGCTTCAAAGGGCCCGCTGAAGCTGCTGGACCTGCCCGTGGATATTTTGAAAGAAATCATTCACCAGGTGAGTAGGCATCCCCCCGCCACGCGCAGCCTCCGTCGTGGTCTCCCCATGGCGCGCGGGGATGCTGACCATTTACTTTACAGCTTCCGCATACCAACGACTTGACGTCGCTATGTCTCTGCCACTCGGCCCTTCACCGGCTGACCATACCATGCATCTATTCGCGCTTCGACATTGTATGGCCCGACGAAAGCACTCACAACGAGCCCCGTGCTGGCGTTGACGCTCTCACGTACGGTCTCGCGACGCTGGTCATGGGCGATGATTGCTTCCCCCACCAGCACCGCCTGAGACTCCAGGGACAGGCGCCAGCTTCACTCCTGAGGACTGCCGCCAACCCATACCCGGTCCCGCAGCGCCGATTCGGAAACTACTACGGACAGTTTACAAAGAAGTTTTCGCTGGGCAATGGGCCGCAGGCATGGGTTCAAGAGTACATGATCACCAAGGAGGGCGGCAAGATGCTGGGCACATTGGTAGCGCTTGCCGTTGCGCGCATGATCAACCTCGAGACTTTTGTGTGGGACATGCCAACTGGTGTGCTTCGCGACGTTTGGCTGGCACTGTCGAGTCTCGCACATCGGAGTGACGGTGAAGAATGCCGTCTTGAGCGGCTCTGGATCCGATGGCACGACAACACCATCGATGCGCCAGTTCCTCCGCCAGCGCCACCTATGATCCTCAACAATCAGAACCTACCCCCGCCTCCCAACACTACACATCCAAGCGGACTCGGTACCGTTCAACTGCCCATTATTCCAGTCCCACAATACCCGCCTACAAGCCTGTCCGTGCTGGAACGAGTCGAACACCCCACCTTCTCCGTAATCCCCGCTTTGAAAAGCCTGAGCGTCCTCGATATTGACGAACTGCCGTACCTCGATGAGATGAGCATTCTGATTGCACGATCACAGAAGAAGCTTCGCGAACTCAGGATTGGAATCGCGGCGCATGCTCAGCATCGGGACTGGGTGACCGTGTGGGAAGGCGAAGGTCTGCAGCAGGTCGATTACAGCACGACATCAGCGGCAGCATGCTCGATAGGCGAAAAGAGATTGGGCGGTGTGTTGGGTATTCTCGTTGGACGTATACACAATATGCGTCATTCAGAAGAGCCGCCTTCCCAAAAACAGGGCGGTGCGGGGGTTACAGAGCGGTCAGTTGAAGCAACACCGACGAAATCGGCTGTTTCACAGCCTTTGCCATCTATAGCCTCGCTCTCATTGCATGAACGCGAAGCCGACCAAGATGTGGACCACTTTGGTAACCCGATGGACGACTCGTCTATAACCGAAGGAGTAAGTCTGTTCAACGATGACCAACCCGCAGGTGCAGGACCGGCCCCGCAGCCGGCACATCAAGACAAGCCAGCCTCCAAGGCTCACACAAGGCCTTCGCCCCATAGGCAAAACACTAATGCGCAAGACCCATCTCAGGATTCTGCTGAGCCCTTGTTGACTGGTCAGCTGAAGCTTGAGGTTTTGGAGCTGGAACGGGTCCCCCTCTCTGTCCCTGTGCTGCGCAGAGCCTTTGATTGGTCCATGCTATCTACCCTGACTCTCCTGAACTGCAGCAATCATGAACAATTGTGGAAGATCTTGAGAAGAGCATACACGCCTCGCTCTGCCTATCCTGGCTCGCCATCATCGTCAAAAGCATACAAGGCTTCGTACACTCTACGCTGTGAATATCAACTGAACCTGAAGCGGATTCATACCAACACAGTCTCACCATCGCTCATTTCTTTCCTAAAAGAAACCTTGGCACCCAACAGCCTCGAGGTCCTCTTCCTTCAGGAAGGCCGGTCGTACTCATCTCCTGTAACAGTAGATGCGATATACAAAGGACCTTTGAAGAGGCACCGAGCCAGTCTCAAAAAGTTGATGATTGACAGTGGGGAGAAGGGGCCTGATGGGCACACAACGACGAGCTCCAGATGGAGACGGTGGATGTTGAACCGGGAAATCCTTACCTTCATAACCAGCGGTCGCATGAATAGCCTACGCGAATTGGCAGTGTCCATTGACTACAAAGATTGGGTATGTTATATTTGATCCTTACCAACGGGCTTGGCTAACATCAGGCAGCATCATTTTCTCCAACGTCTTCCGTACATTCCTCATATCCGCTCTTTGTACATTCCATTCATAGCCGACCACGCTCATGGAAGTAATATTGATCCGCGTGAGCTCGCCTACCAGATTCTGGACATTGTGCACTTGCGACCGGAAATCGAGCTGTGTTATATGGGCTTGTCCACGAAGTGCTTTGAGATCCTGGAGAACCGGCCATCGAACTATGACTTGCGACATGACGGTATGCATACTGATGGTAGTGGCTCTGCATACGCCACACACGACCCCATGTTATCTGATGATGAGAGTGAAGCCACCGAGGATGACGACGACGACAGCATGGATGAAGGCGCAGTACCGCCTGGCGGCGACGAGACGGAGAGCGATGTCAGCGACGAAGCGGAGGGTGATAGCGATGATGAATCCTTTATACAGGACTCGCAGAAAGGTCCAAAGCTCAGGGTTAGAGAGATTCTCTTCTATGAGGAGCGAGTGGAGGCTTTCAGACGGCGACATGGTGTGTTGAGGCCATGATGAAGACAAGACTACGACACAGGTATTGGCAATTGTTGTAAGTATTTCACGGGATATTTTAATGATGATGCGATGGAGCAACGGCGTCGGATGGCGTATATGGTAGATATCCTTGGTCGGGTTGCATGATACTAGGCATGGTCTCAGGACCCCGGATTTAAAGGAACTGAGAGTGCGCAATGGCGGTGTGCGCTTTCCACATCTATATAGTAATAGAATTTACGATGGCAGGTCTATGCAAGATATGATATCTTCGGACTGTAACTTGGTGATGTTGTATTGGCGAACTTGAAGTCATGTCAGTGCCCTGCCCTCTTTTACTACAATAGACATACTACCACGTGAATACGCGTTGCACTTGGTCCGTGCTCCATGTGGGATCGCGACTGACCCTTGTGCAGGCGGGCAGACCGAAACCAGCCCACCCTGCGATAACAATTCGCCAACCGATATGGTGAGAAAACAGCCAATTCCAGGAAAAGACCTGATACCTTTCACGTGATCCGCATGCTCATGAAGCCGCCTGCGCCACATCAGACACACCGGTAAACAATCGCATAGCGGGGCCTCCGCAGCACCTCCGCAATGGACCATTCAACCCTAGTCTTCGCATCCGTCTTCCCCGTCCTCTCCTTCTCGCACAGCACGCCCACACCGATCGCGACACCGGATCTAGGTTCTACTGCGCCGGGAACTTCGTTCGGGAATCCGTATGCTCTGCGCAATACCGATGCCCGTGGCCAAGGACAAGGCCAGCACCGAGCGGTCAGGCGCAACAGTGCGTGGAGCTGTGCAACGAGATTTCTGAGTTTGCCAAAGGACGTGTCTATTGCCCCACGAATGCAAAGGACGAGGGAGGTGGAAGACGCCCTAAACTATTTGCTGGTTGGAGAAGGCAGGGTTGAGGATGCAAATGAAGAAAGCCTGGTGGAATGGTATACAAATGAGTGCCGCTTGCACTTTGCAAATCATGTGAGACCGGGATTGGAGCGCCTATGGCAGGAAGAGGTTGAGCTACGCCGCGCTTGGGATTTACTCGACGAGACACAGCATATACTTGAACAGGCCCAGAGCGTGTACCTTCAACCCTTCACCGAGCACTTGTTGCAAGTTATACAGCAGAACGCAAGTAGCTCGACGCTTCATCCGAACACACATACGCAGACAAACGAGTCTGGTACTGTGAGCGCAGCGGATTGGAAGTTTCGAAGCGATATACAAGCTGTGTTTGCGTACTGCCTGCCTCGGCAACGATACTCAAAGACGCTGAGTTATGTCTTGTACGATGCGGGATGTAGGCTGTTCCGCATCTACAACCGACATGATGGCGTGGAGACAAGGAACATGTCTCATGACACGCAACAGACCAGGAAGCGAATGACGACTTTACTACAAGGGCTGGAGCGCATCGGACTCGGTGGTGACAGTGCCCAAAAGGCCTTCGCCCATGCCATGACAAAGCTGATTGATTCCTTTATAGGAAGCCATTATCTCAAGGTTGACTGGTATTCCAAGAAGACGATTGTGCCGCAGTTGAAGATGTGGATTCAGGACGGCTTTTGCCCGCTCGTCGAACTAGTATTGGAATGCCTGAGATGCGAACAGAGTAACATCCTGCCGACTGAAGTGTCTTCGTGGCAGGAGATGGCGCTGGGCAGGTTGGGTAGAGCGCGAGTCGACAACTTGTTTGATTTTGTAATCAATTGGGACAAGAGTATGGGCGCCATCCTAGATATCAAAGAGTATCTCAAGGTGGCAAATGCAAAACAGCATCTTACGTCAAGCTTTTCGCAACAAGTCTCAAGACGTCTGCTGCATCCTGGAGCTACGACGACATACATCCTGAACGTGTACATTTCCATTATTCGTTCTTTCCATGAGCTGGAGCCTAAGGGAGTGTTGCTTGAACGAGTAGCAAGACCAATTCGGCGGTATCTGAAGGAGCGAGAGAATACGGCCCGTATCATCATACTGAGTCTACTTACTGATCTCAAAGACGATACCGGCAGCAAATTCTCTTCTAACAGCGAGTTATCATACGAAATTGCAAGTGAGATGACTAAGCCGATTGCAAGTTTTGGACAAGACGCCGACGAAGAACTCAATTGGAACGACATGAATTGGCAGCCGCTACCGCAAGATGCTTCACCTGACTACAAGAAGTCAAAGGTCGAAGATGTCATCTGGTTCCTCCTGACGTTGTGGGAGCGGGACGATTTTATCAATGAGCTTAAGAATATCTACGGAGAGCATTTGCTCAAATGTCAAGATCCCGAGTACGAGAAGGAGATTCGACTGTTGGAGCTTATCAAGGTGCGGTTGGGAGATGACAAGCTACAGGCGTGTGAAGTCATGCTTCGCGATATGTTAGAATCCAGGCGTATCAACAGCACGATACGCACAACCTCTAGCGTACCAGCTTCAAACTCGCTAGTCACACCAGATCAGCGTAGTAGACAACCTCGAACACCAGATGGTCGTCAACCACGAACTCCACGGCCTCGCCGTCCAGCAAGATCAGCCAAGAAAGCAACACCTTCTGGCCCAACTTCTGCACCACCTCCAGGCCCGACACTCAACGCACAGATTTTATCGTCATTCTTCTGGCCACAGCTCCGCGATGACACGTTCCAAGTACCGGAACAAATTAGTGCACTGCAAAAAGAATACGAATCACGTTTCGAACGCATCAAGGGCATGCGCAAGCTACGCTGGATGAACGCCCTGGGCACCAGCTCCATAACCCTCACCTTTGAAGACCGCACCGAAGACTTTGACAACCTCACCCCCTGGCAAGTCAGCGTCATCCACGCCTTCCAGCCACAACCCGGTGAAGAAGAGGAAAACACTACAGCCAGCAAAACCGGCGAAGGCACAACCCGTACAATCTCCCAACTCGAATCCCTCCTCGAAATGGACGAATCCCTCCTCCACCAAGCCCTCAGCTTCTGGGTCGGAAAATCCATCCTCCGCTTCCACCCACCATCAACATACTCCATCATCGAGTCCCTCCCCAAACCCACTTCGAAAACTGGCGCCCACGATGCCGATGCTGCCGCAGCCGCCGCAGAAGAACTAGCGACCTTGCAAGCGGATTCCGGTGCCGCCACCGCGACTATCAAATCACAGTCTGAAATGCTGAACGAGAAGAAACATGTGTATACGGCGTTCATCATGGGTATGCTGACGAACCAGGGGAATATGGATGTCGGGCGCATTGCGATGATGATGCGGATGATGGTTCAGGGAGGCTTTCCGCATGGGGCTGAGGAAGTGGGGGTTTTGCTCGAGGAGTTGGAGGGCGAAGGGAAGGTGGTGAGGGTTGGTGGCGGGGTTTGGGGTGTTAGGAAGGGGTGAGCTGCTTGGATGCGGGAGAGGGAGGGTGGTTTTGATAGATGATGAATGGAATGATTGATTTGATCTCGTCTTTTTCTTGTTTTCGAAGGGACAGAGCGCCTTTTGATAAAAAAGATACTTTACTTTATTTGCTTTAGCACAAAAGGCTTCTCGAATTACTGTTTTCGTACTCCATCTCACTACTACATGATTCCCCAAGCAAAAGTTTCTGGTTCCCCCCCCCCCTTAATTCGTCGCCTTTAGAAATGAATGCATTATGTACCCCTCTGCTCGTTCCCACGATATTGTTGTTCTGGCACGATATGTATCTTAGTGTGTAGTTCAAAGAGTGATGGGTTCAGAGACGCGATTGCAGGAGGAGTGATTTTTTGTTGTATATGTGAATAGAGATGGTGAGTGCTGAGGGTGGTTCCTCTGAGTGGTTGTAGTGTGAAAGAGGAAAGGATAGCGAGTGGGAGATGATAAGAAAGGTTGTTGCTTGGGTAATGTGACATTGCGTATTCACAAGCTCTGTTAATGCATTGCTGGATGTGATGTGGGATGCATGTTATCAAGTAAGTTGTTCTTCTTCTCTCGGATTTTTTTTAAGAGGGTGATCGCATAACTTTTGTAAAAACTAACGCGCGGTACATTGCAAATACGATTTCAACCCGATCTTTGGTAGCTCGACTCGTACAATCTTGTACTACTTGATTTCCCACCTGTCTTCTTTCCATTTGTAATATATCCAACCACCCTCATAGCGAAAGTTAATACGATAGAGGTTCCGTCCGAGCTTTTCAACCGCATAAGCCTCTTGTTCGTCATCCAAGAGCCTGTCGATCACATCTCTTCGCTGATCTATCAATGATAAAATCATGTCTTTTGCGCCAAGTAAACGCCCTCCAATGCCTTTGATGGTTTCCTTCGTGAAAACGTTGTCAAATTCACAATGGTCGAGAAGGATTTGTACTACGTCTCTGGGAAAGTGTCTTAGGACGTATTTTACTGCTGATGCTGCTATTGGTAAATCTTTTCTTCGTCGACGCAGGAAACATTCAATAAAGGAGATTTCGTTATCCTGAAGGTATGCGAATTTGACGATCTTTTCCGTAATTGTGATGCCCTCGTCTAGTTCATCGAGAAGCAGTTCCACCCACTTCATAGTTTCGCGATTCCTTTCGATTACCGTATCGAAATTTTCTGGTGCTATCATAGCCTCTTGTCTGCCTTGACTTAGAAGAACCTGAGCTAAAATCATTGTGTTTTTACGATTCCCTGTAGCTTCTTCTACCATCTCTTGTGTGATTTTGACGTCGTCCCTCCTCCGGCTTAGAAGGAATTTTGTCAACTCAACAGGCGTGGTTCCATTCCCAAGGGCTGTCTCTATCATCTCGTGTGATATCTCAACCTTTCCCTCACTTCGGTCCAGAAGAAATTTGGTCAAATCAACAGGTTGGGCTCTGTTTCTGATAGCTTCCAATACCATCTCATATGTGATCGTGACGCTCTCATTACTTCGGTTTAGAAGGGAGGTAACCAGTCCAACAGGTTGAGTTGGGTTTCCGATAGCTTTTGCTATCATCTCGTGTGTAATCTTGACATCTTCCCATGAGTCAAGCAAAAACTCTGCCACCTCTAGGGGAAGTTCTGAGACATTTGCTGTCAATACCATCTTCTTGCTTTCTTCATCTACCTTCCACCAATTGACGAGGACCATTGCCACACACATGCAATATTCAGGACGAGCAGCCCCCAAGACTTCTGCAGCGAGCGTAAACTTAAACTCCTTTTGTGTGACCAAATGAGAGAGTGTTGCAAGGCTTCCATTTGTGGCCGCGAGAACTCCAAGATTTTGAAATCGCTTAGTGATGTAAGGTATTGTAAGCGCTTCGCTGACAAAAAGTTCTTTTTCCAATTCCTCGAAATCAAAAGCACAGGCAATACATAAACCTAAAGACTGTGATGGAAAATAGCTTTCGGGTTCACAGTCCCAAATCAGAAATCGTTGCTTTTTGTAAAGAGATATATCTGGTATGCGATGAACGATAATATCCCGCATCCAGAGAGCCATGAATGAAGTCTCCCCTTTGTCTCTTTCATCCAAGAATAGATGTTTCAAAACGACGCTCAAAGTGCCCGATTTCCTGGAATTTCCCGCTGCTCTGCAATGAGTAGGCCAGTAAAATCGTGCATAATCAAGTGCTTCAATTACGAGGGCTCAATCTCGGGTTTCCAACTAACATGACGGAAGAGCTTCTGGGTTGCTGGAGTTGGAATTTTACATAGTACGATCCAGAGACAAGCTTCCGCTATCAAGTTATTGGACGATGGTTTACTGAACTCAGGTCTTCCTTCCAAAAATTCTCGCACGGACAGATGTGCGAAGCGAAAGGTGTCAAGCTGTGAGTCATGAATGATGAAGTTGTTGCAGTACTCAAGAATCGTTTCTTGAGAAACTGGGGCATTTTTGCCTTCATGGGGAATTGCCGTTACCGCGGCTAGGAACTGATTAGTTCGAAGTGTGATTTGAGCTGATAACAACCAGCACAGGGCATTTTTGAAAATGGTCTGTCGATAATCGCCTGGCATTGTTGAAAGTTTGTTATAGACTTGGTTGTACTGCTCACGCAGATCGGGCGGAAGTCGGCCCATGGCATATCTAATATCGTCATCTTCAGTGAACAAACAAAGATATTGCAATTGCATGCTGGCCCAGCGAAACCTAAGGAGAATGTCAAAATCAAGAGATTTGAGTATGCGTAGCCAGACCTACATTCCATGAGCACTTGCGGTCGTTTTGGAAATAATCAGCTCCTTGAGCTCATCTCGCGAATCGCTACGGTATAGTAGCTTTCTACGCTGAATCAGCTGTTCTGTCTCGTTCTTGACAAATCGTGAAATATCGTTGCAGTTCATCACAGAGTTTATCTCCAGATTCGGGTAGCTCTTCAGCTGCAATACGATATCTTGGTCCTTTCGGCTCGAAACGAAAATCTTGACCAGCCTAGATGCGTTTTTGAGAATTGTCTCCAGATACTCAAGTAGCTCCCATCGTGTCTCTGGATCGCATTCGTCCATGGCATCTATGATGATCGTCGTCTGGGGGTAGATTTCGATGAGCTCCGTGATGAGGTCGCAAATTTCTGTCATGTCGGGCTGTCCAGACGCAAACCCTTGGCTCTCTTCGCTCTTGTACATATCGACTGTAGGTTTTAGAAGAGGCATCCCTAACTCAGTGTTTGATAGTTGGCGCGCAATACTAGCAAGTATTCCTCTGGGGTTCGCCCGTAAAGGCTCTGCTGGATTTCTTGAACAGTAGAAGAATACTGGTTGCGGGCTATTTCGAGCCTGGAAATTCTTCATCGCATCGTCGATTACAATCGACCTGATAATATCAGCAAGTTCTTCACGGATACACAGTGTATGAGAATCTCACACAAGTTTACTCTTGCCTGATCCAGCGATCCCATGGAGCCATAAAATGGAAGATGCGCTGTCGTCCTTCCATTTCTTGAAGATAGCGTGATCCAGGAGCCACATCCCAGTCCCTGCTAGGAGATCTTTCTTGACTTGTTTGTGGTGTCCCATATAAGGTTCAGAAGAGAGCCATTGAAGAATTTTCGTGCGCTCCGATCCTGTGTGTGTGAGCTGCTTTTCGACCGAATACCACGGTCACTTACTTTCAAGATTGTCTTGCACATGCTCAAGATTTCGATCGATTCTTTTCAGTGGAGCATTCATGGAGTTCAGTAGAGCTGCTAGCTTATCATTTTTCTCGATACTATCTGCCAAATTGTTAGCGGATTTGATGATTAAAAGCAGATAGCTCCCTCCCCAAATCCAAGAAAAAATCCTAGATAGTGAAGACCATTCCAGTACTAAAACCAAATTTCTTTCAACGTTCTAAGTCGCAGGAAGAGGTTTTCAAGGTCTAGTGCCGAAGAAGCTTTCTTAAAAAACCAGCTAGTACTCACCATTTCTTTCGGCCAAAGATATACAATTCTTTACCTGTGCTTCTGCTCTATGAATCTCATCCAGAGATGACTCGAACGATTTGTCGAAAAGAAGAGCGCTCTTTATTATTCGCTCTAATAGTTTTCATTAACAGATATGCTCTCTACGTAGAGGATGAAACTTACTTGCAGTCCCCTGCTCAAAGTATGCTATTATGTTAGATAGGTGGAGAAGAATCTTTGAATACAGTTTGACTAAAGCTTTCTGTAGCGCTTCATAAGCCGCTGATGAATCGTAGATATACAGAGCTTCTACGATAGTGTAACGACAAATCAGCTCAGATACCCAAGTAAGATCTTCCATGACCAAGGACATTTTTTCGGTATCATTCAAGGCAATCTGAAGCTACGTCAATATCTTTCTTGGAAACCAATGCAGCACTCACTTGCAAGATGAGGCGAATACCCGCCCAAGGAAGCGCAGCATGCGTGGGATCGTACTGAACAGCCACATCTCCAATCTCCTTGAACACATCAAGCCATCGAAGAAATTTCTCCAAAACATCCCTGATTATCACCGTTTCTCCGCTCTTGCGAGTGTACTTCCATCTCGATTTCATGAATTGATTCCTTGATGTTTCGGCCTTCTCGCGTAGATCTTTGAGAATATCGATCTTCTCATGTTGAGCAAAGTTGATTCCGTGCTTGTGTTCAGCAGGTAACTGGGCTATAGCCTCGGTCCAGAGATTAGTGCTGAAGCGAAGAAAAGTATTAGTAGATGCATGACTAGATGATTTGCTCAACGGACATACGATGCGTTGGATTGTGGAACAATTAATGTAGCCATGCTGTAGATAAACTATAAGAAACAGGGTGTTTGAGGAGGCAATCACGCCTTTTAGGGCTCTCATGGGGAAGAGAACCAAGGCGTTTTGCAATAGTGCTTGCGTAGGAGATATCTGTTGATTATGGGCGCCAGAAAACTCTCGCTCGCGCGTTTCGGCAGGAACAGATCAACAGGTAAGCTCTTAATTGTAGTAAAGATGCGTGAGAGGAATAGGAAGAGAAATGCTGGAGCTTTCAGCCTTGGGATGGGATGTGCTGTGAGCTGAAGTGGAAGGGGGCTGTGTTATTGTGCACGCAACCCCGCAGTCGCCAACAGCAACAAGGCTGGCAATCGCTGCTTGACCGCATTAGACCTGCTACTCTTTTTAGTAAAAGTTGTGTATCTTTCACGAAGAATCAATAGCAAACGGTGATCAAACTTGGAATTTGGGCTGGACAGAGGCGTACGTAAGACTGTCCAAGAGAAGGACAACCACTATTGCTAGTTCAGGATACCCACACGATACAAGCTACTGTTCTTAATTTAATCAATGACTAGCGACTTTATCGTAACCTCCAACGCGCCCTCGAAATTTCCACTAATGGCATAGATACTCTGCATCGCGAATGCGGCGTCTGTGCTGAAATCCTCACACCCCCAATTCCCATCTATACATTGGTCCTGTGCTTCCTTCTTCACCTGCTCGCTAAGAGCAACACATCTTTCATACGCAGGAAGCGCCAGCGCAACCAGGCCCAAACTATGCCACATGCGACCGACGTTGAACTCTGCTTCCTGGCGATGAATGGTGTGTGGGCTTTTGATGCGGAGATCGTAATATCTGTAGACAAAGGACAGACCCTGCTGGATTTGGTACTGCCTGTTTTCTGAGAGGCGTTTCATAGCGTGTTGGATATATGCTACGCCTATACCTAGATTGATTACTGGATCTTCAGGCGTAAGAGCGAACGCACGGAAGTAGTAGTTTAGCGCTGCCATGTAGCTTCCACCGCACATCAGAACGTGTGCGTATAATGCAAAGAGCGCGGGGTCGTGGCCCTTGACTTTGTCCACGTCCTCGATGTTGACATTATTTCTGAAACCGCCTTTGGTAGTTTTGGTGCTGAAGTTAAACTCGATACGTTGTTTCGGGGTGAGGAGTGCATAGTCAACCGTCTTTATGTAGCGCATGAGTACTTTGTATGCGGGACCAGTTGCAAAGCCTTCGGGAAAAGAGCATAGACGATTGACGGAGCTGTATAGACGGAAGAGGTCGGTACCAAACGGGTATTCTTTAAGAAGCCAACGCGCTGCAATAGAGGCTTGTGGTGAGTTGTCGGCTGCAAGGGCACAGGTGAGTCGACATATTTGAAGTTGCCGATGGTAGATTTGGGAGCGGTGAAAGATATTGGCCTGGAGAGCAATATCGAGTGTAGCAAAACATTGCTCTTCATCACCCTCGCCAGCAAGTAAAATGGCATAACGGCCAAATGCATCACACCATTTGTCGAAATGGATGCCCCAGAAATCAGTCGGGGGTGTACTAGGTCGTTCTTGGAGTTCAGGGTCTGTCTCGCCGTCCTCAGCATTATTCGCTACCACAGCAAGTACCATCAATGCTGATTCTTTCCAAAGGTCTCCGGCTGTTACGCGTCGGAAGTAGGTCATGAGGTCTTCTTTTTTGTTCGAATAAAACAAGTCAAATGTTGAAAACTCTTCAATCAGCTCTCGGGTAATCGATAAGACTTCTTTGATAGCTTCTTCGTCTCCATCTTCTGCTGGCGCCCATATCTCATCTAGTCGTTTGAAACTGGAGACAATTTCTCGATGTTGAGCTCTCGCAGCCTTCAGATCGTCGGCAAAGTCGGTAGCAAGCTTTTGAAGTTTTCCGCGGAATAGTCTATTTGTAATTGCCCGATATGGCACATCAGTGCCCTCAATCGTAGCCGGCCTGGGTTCGGCGTCGGGTGCTGGTTCGGCGTCTTCTTCGCGCACATCAAGGAATACTTGGATCTTTGGCGCCTTGGTCCTCTTTGTTCGGAACAGACCTTTCTTGGGTCGTTCCGTAGGAGCGACAATTCCTGGGAGCTCCTTGTTTCCTGTTTCGTTCGCCGAATCATCCTCTTCGTCATTCTGTCCAGTCGCTTTTTGCATCTTCTTTCTGTTCTTCCGTACAGTGCTTTTTCGAACAGCATACCTACCTCGAGCCTGTCTACGTTGGTTGTAGTAGTATACTCTGAGCTCATCGTAGGCCTGAAAGCCCAGAGCCTTGAGTTTGTGGCCATACTTATCGCGGTAAATGGTCTCTGCACGCTGTCCAGCTTCTTGCCACATGCCCTGGTCTTCGAAGAACTTTGCAAGAACAGCGAGATCATCGTAACTCTTCGCTGGCCATTTCTTTAAAATAAGAATAACTTCTGCCGTCTTTTCAGTCCGCCCTTCATTCTTGAAGCAAGTGTGCAAGCCAATGTAGCTCATAAGATTGAACTCTCTAGAGTCATTGTTAAACAATGGCTCATAGAAACGTAGCGCATTCTTGTCGTGGCCAGTAGCATGTAAGGCATCGCCGATAATTCGGAAGAGATCTTCATAGTCCCACATGAGGGCATCTGGGCCTTGATCGTCTGGCTCCAACATTTCCAGGTGGTGCTGTTACAATCAGCGGATGTACAACTTCATCAGCCACTACTATACATACCATAGCTTCTTTGAAGTCATCCTTACTTCTACGCAGCCGGAACAACCCAAGTTTTACCCTGATCTCTAGTGGAAGAGTTGAGCCATACTTTGCATCTTGGGACTTCTGCACAAACTGTGGAACAGCGACACGTCTTGGCTCGTCTTCAATATCAAACTCGCGGTCATCGTCAAGTTCATCCCAAAACGTCTCTGCATGTCTGCCTTGCTTCCATCGCGAAAGTGATTTCAGCTTTGTGATTCCCTTAGCGTAACTGCCTGCTCTGTCTAATAGATCAAGATAGATGTTGATTAATTCCCAGTCAAGGTCATTCGTGACTGGGTCCCGGCCGGGTTGCGTGAACACATCAATAGCCTCCTCAAAGCTGTCGATAAGCTTGTGGAGATGTATCTTGGTCTGCCTTGGTGATGCAGTGCCCATCATTGCCATGATCTTCAGCACACTGGTGTCCGGATCTTCTCCTTGCTCTTTACGCGTCTTGAGCATCTTAAGGCCCAGTAACACGCACTTAGACGAACGCCCTAGCTGTGCTTCGATTTCGAGTTTGTGGCTGCGAGCCTCGTAGTCGTTATTGAGCAGGATGATCTCATTCAAGCATGGAAGTATAGCAGCCGACTTGTTCTCATCAGTGAAACGTGGGTGTTGCTCCGGGTCTAACTGTTGGATACGCTCGATGATGAACTGCCAAAGACCAGGGTCACGCTTTGTTGGCGCTCCAGCTAACAGTACAGCTATGGAGTCTTCTTCACGACCCATCTCAGTGTAGATTTCAGAGGCGATATTATATGCATCGAAAATCTCTGGGTTGAGTTGGATAGCCTGCTGAGCAAATGAAAGGGCTGCCTCATAATCCTTCTCGATGAATTTGGCGTTGGCCTGTTGCTGCAAGGCTTTCCATTCTGCGCCAGGGTCGGCTACAGCGCGGGGACCTCGAGGACCTTTCTCGCTTCCAGGTTTCCCTCGCTTTCTGCCACGTGTAGACCTAGCGCCACTATTACCACCCCGCCCTCTGGTTGAAGGGCGCCCTCTTTTGCCCCCACGCCTCCCTCGAGTACTCGAAGTGGGTATGGTACCACCCATCGCGGGGCTTTTGATGGACTTTCTGTTACTACCTTTCCCTCTCTTGTACCTGACACGTCCTTCCATGTCCTCGAATTCGACACCCAGCTCCATCTCGTCAGGATCGCCTTCATCTTGCTGTGCATCTTCGGACGAATAGTCTGCGTCAACTTCAGAGTCGTCTTTCTGAGTTTGCAGTAGCCGTTCCCGCTCTTCCTCTTCTTCAAGCATACGTTCATACTCGTCGTCTTCGTCTTCGTCGTCTTCGTCTTCCTCTTCTTCTGAGCTCTCAAATTCACGATCATAAATCGAAGAGTGAAATTCACTAGCTTCCGTATACTCATCTTCGTCCTCTTGTTCAGGGTTCGCTGGGATGAACCCTTCAAAGACCGCCGGCCCACTAGTAGCATAAGCCCTGTTAAATGGATCTTGAAAATTGCCACTGGTAAAAGGTGGCAAAGGCTCTTCTTCTTCTAAATCTTCTACGGCATTTAGTGGAATTAAAGGTATGTACGGATTCCGGGTCGGCGGTTGATGGTGAAATTGAGAGAGCTGAAAGTCAGGTTGGTGGTACACTGGGTGGGAAGGAAACGGCAGCCCATTTTGTAGAAAATGAACAGGATACTGCTGTCTGCTATGTTGCGCAGCTGGCTGCATCAAATTGGAGGTATCATCTTCGAAGATACCCGGAACAGGTGGGAAGCCTCTATCGTCCTCATGATGCTCAGGGTTCCATTGCCTGAAGTATTGATCATCCGGGTTCATTGTGGGATCTAACGCTGCGCGCTTGCATTAGTTGACAACTGTTAGTGGTAGATCAATGCAGCATCTGATACCAAGAGGCTGGTGGTGAGGAAAGCTTTGGAAGCAGGGATTGTTTTCGTTCTAAGAAACTAGCGTCCGTGCTTCGCGCTAGTAGGGCATGTTGTGCAGTCGGGTCGCGTGCCAGCTTACCTCCAGAGCAGCGTACCGGTGTCTCTAATCACATTGCTGGTTAGTATTGGGGTTTCATTATCTGAGGAAACACCGGAGGATCTGGCGAACAAATCCGACGAATACCCTGAATGCATTATACTTCCCGCCAATTCAAACCATGTTGATTGGAAGCATTTTGGCGACATCCATGGAAATAGCACCAAGAGAACATCGATGCCGATTTACCGACAATGGCCTAGCCTTCTCACTTAGTCTTTTGGGTCCAATAGAAGAGCCTAATATGCGCTACATCTAGGCCCTCGGCACTGTTGCTAGGAAGTATAAGTGG